CCAGAGGTATCTGTCGCCTTGGAATTTCCAGAGCACAGCAGACTATTCATTAAAGATCATTTATTAATAATAGAGACAGCTTCCCAGTCACTAGTTACTACTTCATGAGAGTTTTTCTAACATTGCTCATTTGTGTGTGTAGAATTCACCTTGTGAGTATAAACTAAGAATGGATTTCTTTAAGAGCTCAAGTTTAACAGGAATGACATTTTTTTCCTTTACTTTGATAAATTGCTCATTTCTGAGAAATGCCCCTTAAAGCACTGAACTTTGTGCCTTAAAGTCCATGACTTACCACATTCATAATCCCTGAGTTGGATGGTTCAGACCCATGTCTCTAGGACTTGCTCTTTTCATTCCTATTCATATTTGGTTAAGATTTGACTTTCTAGGTTTAAAAAGAACAAGATTTATTAGTAGTAGGCAGAAGGCACTGGGTTCCAGTATTTCAGCCAAAAACACAGTCCACCAGAGTGGGCAGTGATCTGACCGCACTGTAGTCTTACTAAAGCAGTGATCTCAGATAGGCACTGCTGCTCACAGTTATTTAGAGGTTGTCAAGTTGTGTAAGTGCTTCCACCTATTAGCTCATGAGAATCCTGAAACACTCCCATAAGCCACGAAAGGAAGGAAAAGCCTATCAGTCATTCGTGCATTTATGTAATGCTTGTTTATGGAAGATAGCAGACATCCCAGAGACTGATATGTGCCTTCTGCAGAGACTGACTGTGAACCAGCACCCAATGGCTCATTGGTGACCCCATGAAATAGGCTTCCAGAACAGTTCTGATGCCTTCTTTCACTTACTCCTCATGAATCATGAGAAAAGTCTTATTACACTCATTTTGTGGATGGGACGACTGAAACTCCCAGAGGTTAGGTCATCGGCTATGATAAAAGTAAAGTGGACGCTAGCACTTGACTTCTCAAAGTTTGATGTGGTTGAGTGAATCCTGGCTGCTTTCCGAACACTGTGATCTCATGTTAACACAGATCGATTCAAGCTCTCCTTTCCAGCTTCTCACATCTCATGGTTTGGCTTAGGAAGGTTGTTTGTGTAACACATAGCAGAAACAGACTAGCTAAAATTAGGCACTTGAAAGATTTTATCCCTTTTAGGAGACGATGGGCAAACCTTGGTGTGACCAGTGGTGTAAATAAGGGTATGTTTGGAGTGGAGGTCCAAGACCTCAGCAAGTCACCAGGTCAGTTATTATAAATGAGTCACTTGTAGCCTGGGGCAAGCCAGCCTTAGTCCCTCACCAAACTATCGGGAACCAGGCAGGCAACCTACTCCCCTCTGGGAGGATAATCCTAATAATAAGCACTAGAATTTGCATACCTCTCTACAGTTTGCAAAGCACTTTCAGACCTGTGCTCTTCACTAACAGTGTTGCTTACTGAATTAATTGTAAATAGGACCAAGATTCGAGAGCACCTCGATTAGTGGCTTTTAGGTATCTGTAATAATAAAATCTTTTGTCAAAACGAAATTCTTCACAGCACTGTAGTACATAAAATAGAGATGAGTGGGACTTCTGTGGGGAGGTAGGGACAGGAAGAGGGGATAGCCCACCTTCTTCAGCCTCTGCACTGAACCGTGTGGCCTTGAGGTCTAGTTCTGAGGGCTTGCCAAGGGACCTCCAGGTCCAATGTCTTGGAAATATCATTTCCCCCCATTTTACTCCTTTCTTCTAAGCAAAGAAAGCCCAATCCCTGGAGGTCAGAGAAAGTCTTCCAGGCCACTCCTCATCCAGGAAACCCCACCAGGACGGCTTTCTGACATAGTTAGAGCCTGAGGCTCTTCCTGGGAACCAGTTTGCCCCTAGTTGTTTCAGGAAAATGTCCTTTGGTCACCAACAGCCTCAGGGAAGGATTTTCCCTGTTACTGGAAGCTGTCTCAGAGTGCTTGCTTTTCAGGTAAGAGTTCGAGAGGCACTGCTTTCATTTTTGACAAGTAGTCCTTCGAGTCCAGGTATACCAGCCACGGAAAGGTTAGGCAATGGGTTCACACAGTGATTTTCAGCCTCCAGAGCCTCCGCAGAAATGCAACGTACAAGGCACTCTCACCAGAAATATTTACACTGGACCAATGGAAGGGCCATGGATGTAGTAAATGCTACCCGATTGCATACTTTAAAATGGATAAAACAGTACAGTTTGTGTTGTACTTATTTTAACATTATAATAGTTTTGGAAATTTACATTGGCTCTTTATTTCCTACAGGATCAAGTTCAGTCTCACTGGCATAGTTTACAATCTGGCTTCTATTTCTCTTATCTCACATCTTGCTATCCTTATCTTTCATCCAATTTTTTCATCTGATCTAATATACAAGCCACTGTATACACTTGGAAGATTCTTTTTTTTTAAATTTTATTTAAAGAAAGACTAAACAAAACAGAAAACGGATAGAAATAATACATACTTTCAAAGAAAAAAATAAACAGTAAGAAATCACTAGTTAATGATTACAGATTGTCCTCTTAAAATTAGTTATTCAAAATATTAAAGTGGAGCATATAAAGTGGGGATTCAAACAGTGAGACTGCCACCAGTTCTGTTCAACTATCCAACAAAAGCTTAGAAATATGGTTATCAATCCTATACATTTAAACATACATGCAGTTATCCATATCTTCAATTATGTTGAGATTGAACAAACCCAAGCAGGCTAATATCACTCTGAACAAAGAATAATAATACTATTGCTGGGTTTCACATTATGACACTCCAGGATCAGCACTGGATACTTTAGTGTCTTTCTTCAAAGTATCAGTTCCACTTGAAGATTCTTAAACTTCCTTCAAGTTATTATATACATCTATATACATCTATCTAGTGCTCTCTAAATGCAGAACTTCCAAATTATTTCATATGCTTCTTACTATATACTCCAGTCTACATATATCTAGGGTTTAATGTATACAGGACTTTTGAGTCACTTAACACTTAGCAATTCTATGAAGCAGATACTACAACTGGCTCCATTTTCTGCTTGAAAAATTGAGCACAGAAAGGCTTGTTATCTTTGCAGAATCATGCAATTCATAAGTAGCCAAGACAGGATTTAGAATCAGGCATTTGGTATCTGAATCTGCTCTTCACCATAAACTACTGCCTGTTCCTATTGTTCCTCATCCTCTGGAACTGGCTCCTGAGTCACCTCCTTTGAGAAGTCTGCCTGGTGTTCCCCGGGAAGGAATGTGACTCTTCCCTAGGACTACAGATAGATAATAGTTAAACATGCACTCAATCATTCCTAGCACCCATTGTATCCATGGGAGATTGGACCCAGGACTTCTCCAAGGATACCAAAATCTGTGGAAGCTCAAGCCCCTTATATAAAAACAGTGTAGAGTTTGCATAAAACCTACTCATACCCTTCCATGGACATTAAATCATCTCTAGATAACTTACCATGCACACGTTAACACAATGTAGATGCTATGTAAATAGCTGTTATACTGTGCCATAGTTCAGGCGATAATGCTTTCAAAAGTCTGAATGTATTCAGAACAGGTGTTATTTTTAAAACCTTCTATGTCTGCAGCAATGAAGGTCCAACTGTGCTTTGCACCATGTATTCTATTGTGAATAACAGCCTGCTTCTGTGTCTTATCCTTACCTGAGCATGAGGTCCCTGGACACAAGGCAGGTCTCATTTATACTTTAGCACCCTTGAGCACTCCTATGTTTTATGTATGAATGGGTAGCTGTATAACTGGGTACATGGCTCTACATTTTTTTCCAGTAAATTACAAAATGGTACCTTGTCTCTGAAATTTTAGCCTGATTCCACGAAGGTTGCCACAGCTGCTGACAACCACTTTCTTTTTTCTGTATTTCATCAGGCAACAAGGCCATTTGGATTCACTCTTGGTAGTTCACACTAAAAACAAATACTGCTCTTAATTTAATCAAACCTTACTGTAGATAGATGTGGAATGATGACTCAAAATATGGTTTTTCTTATTTTCAAAGTCAAAATACTTTTCCAAAGAATATGACAATATCTGTCCCTCCTTGAGATTTATGAGGTAGGATACATGGGGAGAGGTGGATTCATGTTCTTAATGTTTGCGTAGGAAGGGTTATAAATGGGAGCCAGGAAGAATGGATGGATGTTTGCGTGGATGACAGGATGGGTAAAATGATGAGTAGGTACGTGGGTGGGACAGAGATGGGTGGATGCCATGAGTCTGTGAGTGGATAAATGGAGAAGATGGTATACATATGACGGTTTATGAAGAGATGTGACCAGAGTGCATGAAACAATGGATAAGAAGTATGGTGGGTGAGTGGGAGAAATGGTATCTGGGTGGGTGGATGGAAAGGGATAGATGGTTGGATTAGTGGACGATCGGAAACATGGGTGTAAGTGGGTGGATAATGGAAGAATAAAGCATGTGGATGTGCAAGCCCTGGAAGAATGTGAGGAAAAGATGTGCAGATAGGTAGGATGGTGGATGGGAATGTATTCCGGAGGGCGCCTGGGTGTGTTGAGTGTGGAAATATAAAGGCGCCATCGTGGTAGCGGAGGATGAGCGAGAGGGTCAGTGGAGCTGGCCATGGCTAGCTTTCCCTGAGCAGGAACAGAAATCCTCCGGAGCCACGGAAACTTCACTTCCCGCTGAGTGGGAAGAAGAATCAGTTCTCCCTAGCTCTCCGCACTCCCCACCCCGGCTGGAAAACACCATTACCCAGGGCAGGACTTTCCCGCTGTCCCGGCTCCTCTCCCAGGATACCCAGGTGCCTGGGAAACGCAATCATTCCCCATTCTACTCAAGATAAATTTAGCGGGAAAGGAGAGGCCAGAGACTGAATCAGCCGGGCGAGGTTTCAGGACTCAGTCACCCTCCTTTATAAGGCCGCCCTCCGGAGGGCGGGTGCGCAGAGGAAGCGGGGCGCCCTGGGGCGCACAGCCAGGGGGTCCGCCAGGTGTGTGCTTCCACGCAGGCGCACTCGGGATATCACCCCCCCCCAACACACACTCTTCACAACTTCCCAGGAGAGCGCCAGGGACGCAGGGGCAGCGCCCAAGAGGTTGGTGCGTCTTTAAACCGCTGCTGGCTGCTTAGTCACAGCCCCTCGCTTGGGTGTGTCCTTCCCTCGCTCCCTCCCTCTTAGGTCACTCTTTCAACCCTCGAATAAAAACTGCCGTCAACTTCCGAGGCGGCCTCATTGTCCAGCGGCCCCCAGCCTGGGACAGGTCCACGTCCTCTAGTGTCCCCGCGCCTCGGGACCCTCCAGCTCCACTCGCTTGCACTCTGGGTTCACCGACACCATGGACAAGTTCTGGTGGTGCGCGGCTTGGGGAATCTGCTTCTGCCTCATGCAGCTGAGCCTGGCTCAGATCGGTGAGTGCCCGCCGCAGTCGGGGGAGCGCGAGTGGGAGTCGGGGGTGCCTAGGACTCCTTAGGAGACCCGTGGTCTGAGCGACCCCAGGGGGAAAGGGGCATCGCAGTCAGGTGGACTTGGATGGGGCTCCGGAGAAAGCCAGGCTGGAATTTGCGCTAAGCGGTTGGAAAGCTTGTTGGTGAGAAGCACCGTTCTGTTAAAAGAAAGAGAGAAGAAAAGTTTGCTGGGCAGGCTGCCCGCGTGCAGTTCTGGGTGAGGTCGCTGGAGCTGGAGCACATGGCAGAAAGTAACTGTACTGGGGTTGAGCGCAACAGCCGGTGCCTGGGTTAACCAGCTACTGTGCCCAAGGGCTGGGTGGCCAGCGGGGCAGAGGCTGAGGCGTGACAGGGCTGGCGCTGGGGCACCGACAGGGGCTTTTGGCAAGGTGGCCACAGAATTGCAAGTGCGATAATCCTTGGCAACGAGTTTTCACAAAGGCGTCCTGGCAAGTGGCAAGGGTGGCTCCCCACGGAGGAGCCTGGTTTCCAAAGCTCTTTCAGTCTGCTCCAGTCGGTGACCACCTCGAGGCTTGTGGGAACTTGATCCATCTCTGCGGAGAGGTTCTGAGTTCTTGTGGTTCCAGCCTGGGGCGAGGAGGACCCATCGATGAGACCTCCTGGTCTGCCAATCAGTCTGGGAAAAGCCACACAGTAATGGGGCTCCTATTCCCTGGGCAGCCCGGGGAGTGGGAGGGAAACCTGGATACCATGGAAGTATCAGGAAAGAGGCTCCCATGTGTCCCATCCCAACCGTCCTGGCTGCTTTTGGTGGCTGTGGAGGAGAGGAGCCCTATGTGAGGTATTCCAGTGTGGCTCAACTCCAGGCCATCTTCTTCTTTGTATATGACCAGCTAATTACACGGCTGATTTGCTTGGCTGATTTGCTTATCGCTAGCAAAATTAATTTTTCTTTTAAGAAGTGCCAGCCGGGTCATTAAGACAGCTCAGGCTATGGTTAATTCTACTCAGCAGTATTTATTAAACTCAGTTCTGGAGAGATAACAAGAAAAGCAAAAGACACAGTCTATCCTGGGTACCTTAGACTGAGGCGGGGTGGGAACTAGAATGTTGATTCCTAATGCAGAAGCAGTACAAATAATAGCAGCAAAAGCAGTATGAGCTGCCTTGACTGCACACTTTGTTGATGCTGTTGTTGGCGGTTCTATGTTAAATCTTTGTGTGTGATCTTATTTTACACCCAAGTGAGAAGTGTTCTGTTAATAACCTTGTTTACAGGAGATAAACTGAGGCTCAGAAAGGTTAAGTAACTATTTGGCATTCACACTGCAGGAGTAGTACAGGATATGAATTCAGGTTCAGTGAGTTCCAAACCCTTCGGTCTAAACATGTTAGAATATTTGTAACGGGTGAAGTCAGAAAGGATTTCAGGAAAAAGGGGTGGACCAGAGGCCACAATGGAAACTGAGAAGAGGATATGGAGGCCAAGGAGACCCTGCTCTTGGCCTCCTGGGAAGTTTGTTTTGTGTTCCCCACCACTAATGCCTCCTGTCTCCTTTTTCCCTTGAAAGGACCTCAGTACTGGGTGTTGTCCTGACCCTCGGGGTTATCCTAGAGACACCAACCTGCCTCCTCCCTCCTTCCTTTCTCTGAAGGAAGCACAGGGAAAGAACAATGACTGTCTGACCTTGACTTTCGTGTGCTTGTAAATGTTTTGGAAGGAGCTGAGACTTGAGCAGGAGACAAGACTTAACAGAGGGCTTGGGGGTGGGTGGGCAGCCCAGGAGGAGGAGAAGAGGGAGGAAAGGCATTGTGTTTGTGTGTTCTGGAAGACAAAGAGGAAACTTTGGAAAGGGGCATGTCTTGGGGTGGAGCAGGGAGGGGAAGGAAGAGAGTAATCTTTGTATCAGAAATCCAAAAGTTAAGAAAATGGCCAAAGGGAGTTGAGCCTTGTTAGATCCAAATGCTCAGGAGCTGGAGGACAGGCAGCTTGAATGAGCAACTGGGGAAGTCATCAAGAGGAGGGGGCGTGATGGGTGTCACTTTAGGTAAAAGGGTAGCAGGGATGAGATCTCCGTTTTTCTTGGTGGCAAGAGGTCATTTCTAAGAATTTTATCTCTGATGTTGAAAGAGAGGTGAGTCCGAGAGCCCTCAGGCTTGTGGGTGGCAAGCACCTTTCTGATGCCACTAAGGATTAGAGATGCCGCCCTTGCTGGGAGTTGGAGCTTTGGCTGTTTTCCCATGAGAAGAAACAGAAGAAGCCAAGCTCCATGCTGCTGAGGTTAGCATCCATGAGTTCAGTTATTCCTTTGATATGCATTGGGCATCTGTTTCTTGCAAAATACAGTGACAAGTATATGGGTTGGAAAGCTGGCATCTGGTGGGGAAAAGGCTCCATTTTCTTTCAAAATACCCCACACTGGACTGAATGAAATTCTTAGTTTATGACAGACCCTTTACCATTCATTCAAGAAATATTTTCTGATTCACTGCTATAGACTCAAAGACAGCGACTCCAAGGAGCATTTAGAAAAACCCCTCATGTCTTTCCCAAGAAAAAGCAAACCACAAAAGAGAGGGACTGGTGACTTCCCCTTCCGGAGGCATGTGAGGGTGTTACAACAGGACACTTTTCACACATGCTGTCTCGGAAAAACCCTTGTAATCCAGGACTTTAGGAGCCTCACTCCACCCTCTGTGGGTTCAAGGAGGCAACATTTGTTACTGCACAAATAAGTTTAACCAATGATCATAGCTGTGCTTACTATAAAGCGAAGTGGACACTTGAGAAATAGTCTGTCTTCTCCCAGGGCTCTTAGGCCTCCTGAAACACCGCGGGCTGGTTAGAAGCACCCCAGTGTTAAAAACCAACCATTCTGCTGTTGTACCGGATGGCTTTGTATAAAGCAGGGTCCCCAGTCTCTAGGAAATGCCATCTGCTAGGATTGAAACTACGGGGTTACTGTAGATTCTCTTGCATGAGCCTCATAATAGCTCTATATGTCAGTATTTCCTTAATTTGATTTTCTTAGTTAAAAAAAAAAATCAAGGCTCACTTGGCAATGATGTGGCTTGTGCCAGGCTGCGGTGATGGAGTCGGGATTCCCCATGGACTCCCCCACCCCCACCTGTGTTATAGCTATTTTCCTACCCCGTGTGACTCCCATGCTTGTCTTCCATTCTTTGGAGGACTTTGGCAATTGCTGTGGTTCTCTTTCCTTGCCTGCACCCTGTGGCTAGCATAGCCTGGCATGAGGCTTCTCTCTCCATCCTCTGGCAGGCTGAGGACTCTTGGCTATTTTGCCTTGCCATGCCCTGTCCTGACCTATCTCTTTCCAGGCTTGGCCTCAGCTGTCAGAGATGCCAACCTAGTTATTTGGCGCTAAAATAAGTCAATTCCCTTATCAAAGTCCAGCTGCCCTTCTAGACATGCTCTCATTTGCAGGCTTGGAGAAAAGGGAGAGGCTGCTCTCTGTCTAACAGACAAGTCAGGGCAATGCTCTCTGCCTGAAAATTGAGAAAGAGGCCTGCACACTCTCTCATGCTGGCCCTGCAGGCTTTTCAATGCGGTGACCCACCCAGCCCCTTTGCCACATACTCATTAGCCAGTTCTATGTGGCCCCGATGAGGGAAAGTCTCGAGGTCCTCGACAGCAGGCTGCCATGGTTCTCCGCAAAAGCCACGTGACCACCCAAGTGAGATTTCAAATCAGCCCATGATGTAAGATGCTTCCGGCCTAAGGTCCCCTGGTGGAGAAGAGATGGTGAGCTGGGCCTCCCTGGTAGTCCATTCTGGGCCTAAGGGCAGGATGTGTTTCCCCAGCATCTCTGTTTTGGCTCGACTCCCCCCAGAGGCCAAAGGAAGTGTTTCTTGTGAAAGAATGAGCTGAAACAGGTGGCAGATGCTCGACATGGTTTTCATGGGGGATCTTTTCTATCTCAGAGAGAAATTCTGGGGATTTGCTGATGACTCAACTTCCTGTGTGTCTCTGCTTGAAAGAGAAGATCACAGATACTCTTTGGGGAAGAGCTGGTACCTTCCACCTGAAAATCAAACTCCACTTTTCATTCATTTTGCAAGTGAAATTGTTCTTAAAAATCATACTCCCAGCCAGGTGTGGGGCACAAGCCTGTAATCTCAGTGCTCAGAGAGGCCTAGGCAAGAGGATCGAAAGTTTAAGCCAAGCCCAAGCAACTCAGTAGGATCTTTCCTCAATATTAAAAGTAATAATAATACTCAAAAGAGGGCTAATGGTGTAGCTCACTGCAGAGGTTCTGGGATTCATCTCCAGTATGAAAAAAAGGCGTACTTTCTCTAAACTAATCAACAGACCAACAAATGGGAAGTCAGTCTCATTTGCCAGAGAAATGGAAGGAATAGTTTTCTTCTCTGTCTTCGGCAGCCCTTGATGTCTGGGAGTGTGTTTGTGATGGATGCATTGTTCTGGGCAGGGCTGGCCGGCTGCCCAAGCTGAGCCATGTATTTGTGGCTTGGGTGGCTGTTTGCTGTGACTGGGGATGCCTGTCTAAGAAAAGGGCTACTAGACATTTGGACTGAGAAGGGAGAGAGCCAGGCAGGATGATGACACCAACCCTAAATTTAATCACTCCCCAGCAGTGGCCAGCTCACAAGTCCAATTATTTGGGAGCTGCTGATTAGAGATTGGAATCCTTGGATGAGAGACCCTCACCCCCCCCCCCCCTGTTTCTGGAGAGAGGTGGTAGCTGGGAGAAAAGCAGAAGGGTCTCACAGAAGATTCTGGCTGTCATCAGTGGGTCTCTTTGGGTAATCAGTCAGCTGTTATTCAAATTGATGCTACTATAGGTCTTGATGGGGAGGAAACCCCGGAAAAGCCTGGTGCTCCATAGGAACCCATGTTGCTTCCTTTGCTAGAGCTTCCAAGTAGAAGTGGCCCACAATGGGCAGCTCCTGGCTTTCCTGAGGCACCTGCCCAGTGAGACTCAGATAGAGTCAAACACACACTGAGAGGATGGGTGTCACGG